GTACTCAGTATTTTTAAAATAATTAGTATAAAAGTTAATGTTGTTTTCTAAATAATGAAATGTCATATTGCAGAAAAGCCTACCTTCCAATTTTTCGCTGTAATAATCGCTTGGGCCGTGCAGCAACAATATTGGGTTTTATTGCACGAAGAGCTCTAACAGTTGAAAGTTTTGTATACCTGTTACAAGCCTTAGACACCCATATAATAGTCGAATTGTCCAATTTGTTTAGGTATTGATGCACATATTTGTTGCAAGTGTCGTTTATGTTTTTCAAGCACCAAATAAATGCTCTCCCAGCAGCGCTGTTTATTGTTACCAAACTGGTTTTCGTCCCAACGTCCTCTTGAAATCCTTCCAATTTCGCCATATTTGATCTGAACACGTGGTCATGTGCATCAATTTCTTGTCCACATTTGCTTCCTGAAAGGATTCCAGAGTTTCCGAGTACTGCGCATGTTTGTGCTGGATTTATCCATGGTTCTCCATTGGCTTGAGTAGTTTCAGTATAATTCGGATTTACTACCTCTTCGAGATAGACACGGAGTGAATTAACTGGAAGGAATCCGGTCTTCTTCAACTTGTCTCTATTAACATTTTAAAAAAAGCAAGAAAGAATACCAGGCTGATGTAATTGGAAAAACTAAGTATTCATAACATATATTACAAAAACCTTAATATTATTATTATTTGAATATTCAGTACGATAACACCCAGGTAGGGCAAAGCATCAATCCTATGATATTTTCCTGACGCAAACTCACACCGAAATAGCATTTGCAGTACCCGCTGCTACTTTTGAGGAACGTGTTAGCTGTATGTGCAAGTCTGCTAATTACTACGTTAGTAAAATTGGAAAAATCAGGAAGTTTATTAACACCAAATCGGCTGAAATAGGCCTACTGGTTCATTCGCTGATATCATCTCGGCTGGATTTTTGCAATTCCCCATTAGCTGGCGTTCCGCAGGAATTGCTCAAGCGTTTCCAACGCATTCAGAACGCTGCTGCCCGTAAATCTACCGGTGCTGGAATGTATGATCATGTTCCCTTACTGCGTGAACTTCATTGGCTGCCAATCAGGCAGTGTTATACTTAGTTACTTGTTCTACTTGTTCTGACCTTTAAAGCGATGGATAAAGGACGACTTACTGCACTAATTTTGTTGGATCTTAGCGCTGCATTTGATACCGTTGATCACACTTTACTATTCAATCAATCAATACTTTATTTCCAATTCCAGCAACAACAACAACAACAATAATAATAATAATAATAATAATAATAATAATAATAATAATAATAATAATAATAATAATAATTGGATCGCCTGAAGCATTATTAAGGTCTAGAAGGCGACGCTCTAAGCTGGTGCTCCTGCTACCATTCTCATCGTCCAAAAAGAGAGTTTGTGTTGGGAACTCCATGTCAGACTTTTTCATTCTTGACTATTCCGTTCCTCAAGGGTTAATTTTAGAACCTCAGTGGTTCACAATCTAATGCTACCAATTCGTGAAATTGTATCAAAACTTGTCTTACCATATTTATGTTGATTATACACAGATCTATATTTCTTTCAAACCTTCCCAGGAAGTTGATGTAAGGAGGAAGTCGAAGACCTGGATGTCCGAAAACTTTCTGCAACTGAGGACAAGACTGAATTCATCATCTTCGGTTCCCCTCAACAAAGGAAGAAATGCCAAGACCTCCACTTCAACATTGGAGAATGTCTGATCGACTTTGAAAATTCTCTTTTTTTTTTCGTATTTCTAAGAGATCTATGCTTCGCCTGTTGCAGAATACATCTGCTAGGATTATTACAGGAACAAAGAAATTTGAGCACATCACTTTGATTTTACAAGAACTTCATTGGCTACTGTTTCTTTCAGGAGCATCTTCAATATTTTGCTCATTACTTTTAAGAATCTGAGAGATGAAGGTATAGGGTATCTTCGTGAACTGCTAGTGTGGTACGTGCCATCGCGAACTCTCCGCTCTGGTACTGAGAAACTTCTGCTTGTTAAACACGTTCATGGGGTGATCGATTATTTGCTGTTGCGGCTCCACGCCTTTGGAATAAATTGCCAATAAATATTCGCTCGTGTCAGTCTACTGCTTTGCTAAAAAAAAAGCTCTGAAGACGCATCTGTTGTCGACTGCTTTTTCACAGCTCTCTGTTTGTCTTGCTTGCTTGCTTAATCGTTTTAGTTAGATACTCCCATTAATTGAGCACCTGTGAGTAATGAATAGACGGGCCGGCCCCAGTGCCTTAAATTGCAGTGTAAATCGGTGATGGTGTGGTGTTTCTTTTCTTGTAACTTTAAGGTTCAACTTCCTCCTGTAACGCATTGAGCACTACTGCAATTGATTTGTGCGCTTTATAAATATTATTATTATTATTATTATTATTATTATTATTATTATTATTATTATTATTATTATTATTATTATTACTATTACTACTATTACTATTACTATTATTATTATTACTATTACTATTATTATTGTTATTATTATTATTATTATTATTATTATTATTATTGCAACTTTAAGTCACAGCTTAAGACCTATTTGTTTTCCAGTGGCTTTTTAGATGCGTCTTTGATCTTGTTTGGAATTGGCGCCATATAAATTCGAGATATTATTAATATTATCAACTATATTCGCTCTGGTTTTGCGTTCTCAATTTTGCGTGACAATGCGCGGCCTTGATTTGTATTATCAGCCGAGCGCGTATACATTGTTTAATAATGAATTCCTTTCATTATCCTAAAAATAGAGAAAATCTTTAATACAATACACAATTCATGAACGAGGGTTCATATCAAGCAAGCATAATGTTAGGTGATCTAGTAAGATAAGTACGGTAACATTTCGATGCTTCATCGAGTAAAGTTCGTATCCTATCGTATTCTTATAGATCGAAACGAGATTGATTACTGGTTGTTGTCGGGAATACCAAAACCAGAGGCATGGAGGTAGGCGGGACTCCTGTCTCACCCTCCCTTCTTCCTTGCAGAAAATTCATAGGACATCCCCTGTGCTGGCATGTCGAAAGTGGCTACTTTATGCCTAATAACATATACAAAATTACAGTTGGCCCAATTACATGTACAAACAAAAATTCATTTCTTTAATCCGTTAAAAATACATGATACCTTGTAACGTTTGCTGCGGACTGGTTGATGTGGCTGTGTAATGCTTGCAGTATATGCCTCGGAACCGTTTCTTTTATTGAATGCTTTGATGAAATCCGGGTAATAATTTGAATGCAAAAATAGTCATTAAAAGCAAAAAACAAGGTCATCACAATCACCATTTAAGTACAGTAATAACAATAATAATTATAATTATTCTACAAAACCTATTGTTATTATTACCATCATTACAGCAAAATTCCCATTATTATTTTATTATTTTATTATTTATAATTATAATTATTATTATTATTATTATCACCATTTGTACCATTATAACTACAATTACCATTATCTTCATTATAACAATCATAACAAAAATAATAACCATCATCATTATCATATTATTAATATTATAATAGTTATTATTATTATCATTATTATTATCATTATTATAATTATTACGATTATTGTTGTTGTTATTGTTGTTATAGTAGTTCCAATTACAATAACCACCATAGCAACAAGATTATTACAGTTATGAGATCATTTTTATTCCGATGAGGGATGTTGTGTATACAAGTGTGATTTGAGTCTAGAAGTAAATATGGGAAGGGAATCAAGGACGAGAGAATTCTTAAGATCATTAGGAAGGTCTTCCCAAAGACGAGGAAAAGCGTGAATTGCAGATTTGTGGAGAAAATCATGATTAGCTTTAAGGTGTTTGAAGGAGAGAATTTCACTGTGGCGAGGTAAAAAAGTGCAGATTTGGATAGAGTTAAAAATACTTGTACAGTCGACATAACCCAAAAGAACCTTGCAAAAAAATGAAATCAAAAGAAATTGCCTTCGGGTTGAAAGTTGAGGCCAGTGAAGTTTAGTTAATCTGTCAATATATTCCATATCACCTCTAAATTGTCCCAGTGCCAGTCGTGTGGCCCTTCTTTGGATTTTTTCTATACTATCAGAATGTGTAGCAGTATGAGGTAACCAGGCTGGAATATAGTGGCGTATATAGGAGTACTGACGGTGCAAGAGGGTTAGCAAAAAGGTTAAGTAAGGGGAATTTCTGGCAAAAAAACTGCTTAAATGATGTGATTTTGAAATATTGGATGTAACTGTTTTGCTAAGATAAGGGGCGCCTGAGGTGGATCGGACCCCCTGACCGGGGACCGATTTCCCCGACGGAAGCAAAGTGGGCGTGGATTAAAATGTTTCGAAAGTGGTGACAATTCGAAAATTTTGACAATTTAAGGGTTTCAAAGGCTTATTTAATCGATTTTAGAGTCTACTAATATGTAGAAAATACATAATTTTTGTTGTTGTTGAGAAAGACAATTTTCTTTCGGAAGCTTAGGGAGGTTTTAGATCAAATCACCGCTGTGAAGATCACATGCTTACATTAAAAGGTATTCTATCTTGTCGTTCAATCGAAGATAAAAATGCACATCTAGCCTTCCTGGACTTTCAAAAAGCATTGATAGTGTGTGGCGGGATGGCCTCTTAAAAGCAGCCTGGGATTCAAGTGCAAGAGGAAAAAATTGGAGGGTCATTATCTCACTTTATGATATAGTAAGGCAAAAGTAAGACTTGGTGAACATATGACAGATGAATAATAAATATAAAATAAAATACGCTTATAAAAGCGTAAAACAAGGGTGTGTACTCTCTCCAATTTTATTTTCCCTATTTATCAATTAATTTGTTAAGCTTCTACGGGAAAGCAGCCTGGGTGTAACTATGAATAGTGTTTGGATGGGAGGGCTCTTTTTGGCTGACGATGTAGTCCTAATAGCCAATAATGATAAAGAAATGACAAAATGTTAGAAATTGCATTTAGATTTGCCAGGAATCGAAAATAGGTTTAACAATGAAAAATAAAATATTATGGTTGTTAGGAAACGAATTGATAAGAATAAAGAATGGAAGCTAGCCAGTAATACAATAAGAGAGGTAAACAGTTATTAATATTTAGGGGTTATTATTTCATCAAATTCAAGGAAGCATACTCATTATGAACATGTTTTTCAAAAGGGAAATCGCATCATCGCCTACTAGGTCGGCCACAGCCGAGTCATCGCCTATATTAAGGGTATTATAGCAAACCTAGATGATTTTAATCGTGTTTACTATGGGAATATATTGTGGAAGACCATTGCACTTCCTTCAATAAATTATGCCTGTAGCATCTTGTATAATAAATCTAACAAAGACAATGAGAATCTAGAAAAAGTACGAATTCAAATGGCCCGTTTCCTACTTAAAAGCCCCACGTTATACACCCATAGAGGCACTATATGGTGACCTAGGATGGGCCCCCTTATCACAACTACATGAAGTGGCCAGAGCTAAGCTACTTTACCGTTTTATTAACTTGCATTTAGATTTGCCAGGAATCGAAAATAGGTTTAACAATGAAAAATAAAATATTATGGTTGTTAGGAAACGAATTGATAAGAATAAAGAATGGAAGCTAGCCAGTAATACAATAAGAGAGGTAAACAGTTATTAATATTTAGGAGTTATTATTTCATCAAATTCAAGGAAGCATACTCATTATGAACATGTTTTTCAAAAGGGAAATCGCATCATCGCCTACTAGGTCGGCCACAGCCGAGTCATCGCCTATATTAAGGGTATTATAGCAAACCTAGATGATTTTAATCGTGTTTACTATGGGAATATATTGTGGAAGACCATTGCACTTCCTTCAATAAATTATGCCTGTAGCATTTTGTATAATAAATCTAACAAAGACAATGAGAATCTAGAAAAAGTACGAATTCAAATGGCCCGTTTCCTACTTAAACTTAAACTTGTTGTGTAGATATTTTTGAAAAATGTCCTGATATAGATTTTTATAACCATGTCTTTGATTTTGATAACATTTAATTCTTTTTCTTTAAGTATTCTTAAAAATGTCAGAATGGTATAAATCACAGTGGTCTAACAAATTAACTCAAAAAATCTCATTACACAATTATTTAAAACTTCAACCTTCTCCAAAATTACAAAAATACTTACTGGACAAAACTAATTTCTATGGGGCAAGCTTAAAATTTAAGTTAAGATCTGACACGCTACAGGTTGATAGTAAAACTTATAAATGGTCCAATGACGTCTCATGTGTTTGTACCCTTTGTGACAGTGGAGAAATAGGAAATGTAAAGCATTTCTTATTAAAATGTACGGTTTCACGACATTAGAAATGAAGAATTAACAAATTTAAAAAGTAAACTTACACTCTGTGACCTTTCTGATACATGGACCTTTTTTCAACATCAATTGCTGATGATAAATTATTGTATATTTTAGGAGCAGACTCTGTCTCTTTTTGTGATGATTCTGCTTTTATTTTTGATAATTACTGTAAAAAATATGCATGAGGACAATAAATTATACCCATTTTTAGATAAATACACTATCCTCCGATCACCAATTTGTGTTTCGTGAAAACCATTCGACATCCGACGACATTATGGATCTTATCGCCAACATTACGGCGGGATTTGAAAAGAAGAAATTCTTAGTCAGTGTGTTTATGGACCTTTCTAAGGCCTTTGATGTTATTGACCATGATATTTGCTTAAAAAGCTACATTACTATGGAATCAGAGGTATTGCTTTACATTGGTTCTCTAGTTACTTAAGTTGTAGGAAACAATACGTCATGTTAACTCAAATGAATCAAATCTCACAGCCATAACGTGTATTAGGCCCTTTGCTGTTTCTAATTTATGTTAACGACATTCGTTAAAGACACTTAAAACGGTGTCTTTCGCTGATGATACGACTGTTTTCCTATCAGGAGATAATCTTGATCAACTGTTAACTAATATAAATCATGAACTTGTAAAGGTATCTGATTGGCTCAGCATTAACAAACTATTGTTAAATATTGCTAAAACTATGTAATTTTCCGTCCAACTCAGAAGAAATGCCCTGAAATTGACAATTGTCTTAAAATCAATGGTAAAGCAATAGCTCAACAGAAAGAAGTTCAATTCTTGGGTATAATTTTAAATGAACATATTATTATTAACTGGAAAATTCATATTGACCTCGTTGCTAGAAAAGATAGGAGTAATTGGCAGTCAAACAGTTTTTCCCTACGAATATTTTACTCGCTCTTTACAATACCTTAATTTTGCCTTACCGCCAGTATGGTAATATTATATGGAAGTGACTATCCTTCAAACCTTGTTAAACTAACCTCGAAAAACGAATTATTCGTATAATTACATCATCACCATATAGGTGCAATGCTGACCCACTATTTCATCAACATAATCTTTTGAATAGTTATGACCTTAATAAGGTACAAGTAGGATGCTTTATGTCAATCAATCTATCAATTTATTTGGAAATTGCACCTTTGCATCGGTGGCACACACAAAAAGTGGTGCATCCATAAGAAAAACACAGCACGTCTTAAACTAATCTTGCAGGCATTAAAGAGCTACAGTACAAAATACATTTGAACAAAATTTTCGGTCTTAAATTAATACACAGAACATATTCAATCAGAACCTAAAAAATTAAGCAAATTTAGCACTACAAGAAATTTACTCATAAAAATACAAATATACTAATCTTACAGGCATTAAAGAGCTACGGTAGAAAATACATTTGAACAAAATTTTCGGTCTTAAATTAATACATAGAACATATTCAATCAGAACCTAAAAAAAATTAAGCAAATTTAGCACTACGAGAAATTTACTCATAAAAATACAAATATACACATACATACACATAAAACATACATAAACAAATATATAATTATATACATATATATATACATATATACATACATATACATATACATACATATACACATATACATATTATACATACACACACACATATACACACACATGTACCTATACACCCATACACACATACATATACCAAAAAAAAAAAATAAATAATACATACATACATACACACATATACATATTATACATACACACACACATACACACACATACACACAAACATATACACCCATACATATACACGACTTAAAAAGAAAAAAAAATACACATACATACATATATACGCATATATACACATATACA